CCTTACAAAAAATTCGGAGAAGAAGAAATATTGGCTAGAAGGACATCTCTTCGATCTGTACAGTCAGATTAAAAATGCCTAACATCTTCTAAGCGGAATTACTATCATTGTACGAATCTGTGAAGTGATACCAAAAGGGAAAGATAAATTGAATGACTACCTTTTTGCATCTGAGACAGAGACAGAGATAGAGGTAAAGATAGTGACAGAGATATAGATAGAGATAGAGATAGAGATAGAAATAGATATAGAGATAGATACAGATACAATAGAGTGTCTGCTCAGAATCATCAAAAGAGGACACTTAAACAGGTTGGATCAATGTAGAAGCTGGTCTATCAAGCAGATATGATTCAGATATAAATTTACAGAATCAAAGGTCAAAGAACAGCAAATACAAATACATAAACATGATACAATGATTATATGTAGAATAATAAACCTATAGTACTCGTATAAAAACTTTTTCCGGAGTTGTAATCTCGGGAAGGAAAAAATATATAACCAATATGTGAAAAGTCCATCATGTTCAAAGAGTAACGGCTGGAAATGACATTGCATCAACAGTCAGTGAAGCAAAACATGATTTTTTTTTTTTGCGGCCTGAAATTTCTGACCCAATCGTGGATAATCTATTTTCGTCTTAATCAATTTTTTCTTCGATCAGATTTCGAGATCATGTTAACATCTCTTGGCATCGAGTGTTCTGGGAAGAGCCCATTTACCGTTTGTAAAATTGAAATCCCTGCTAAGATTTTAAAAAACTGAGTGGATGAAATGCTGAAATGTTTTAATACGAAAGAAGAATATTTGGTCGTTTCGATACCGAAAAAATGCATTCCAAATTTTTATTAAATAACTTAAAAGTATAATGACCCTTTTTGGGGTTATATCCACTTCAGAATAAACGCGTTTTTAAAAGGCTTTTTTTTAATTAATAAATAAAATTCATGTATATTTATAGAAATCAATATTCTTTAATAATTCTTGAGCCCGTAGCCGATCTAGAAAAGGACTTCCGAAAAGGATTGTTGCGCGATGAGGAAGATTTTTCTGTAAGCTGAAATTTCATATCATATGATAAATAGGCAGGTTCCCAAATAAAGTTATTTTTCGTGTAAAAAATTTAAACTTCAGAATGGCTTAAAAATTTGAAATTAAGACATTAAAAACATGTTTCGAGTAAAACGCATTTAAATTTTTAGGAGCCGACTACCATAAGTTAAGAAATTCTACAAATACTATCATAGTATCTCCGAAACTATTTGCCAGATCATTTTAAAATTTCTGACCAATATTTTCAACTACAGCATATATTTCAACTGTACATTCGATATATATGCAAGAGTTTTCATTTCAATCAACTTGACAATGTATTTATTAGTGCGAAAAGATTTTAGAAACTTTTTTCGCACTAATAAATACATTGTCAAGTTGATTTTAGCTCATACAAAAGTTGCATGAGTTTCGCTGCAGCCAGATTCCCACACATTCAATGTCAAGAAAAACTAAGTAAACAAAAATTTTCTACAACTCTAGAAAAGTTAAATTGCAGTTGAAGTTACTTTGCGACATGCCACACAATTTGAATTGTCTTGAACAATAACAAAAATTCGAACGAAATCGAAACGAACAAATTACACGACTTACAAAGTAACACGACTTTTTCACACTTATGTATGTACATAGTATTATATATATATACATATGTACGTATGTCGTATATGCGTTTGAACAAATTCTTCTGTGGTGGAAATGAAAACTTATTTTTATAGCGAATTTAACGATCTACAAAGAAGATCTAATATGATTAAAGGGTATAATAAGTTTTTTTTCTAATATACATACATACATACATAAATTTGTATGTAATATAAAAATCATTAATTAAGATGATCAAAGAAAATATTAATGAGCACCATACTTCTAGTTAAGGAATTGTGAAGTCCACACAGATAATTATACGCAACTACTGAAATCCATTTGATCACATCAAATACTGAATTTAAGCGGCTTATGTTCGTTATGTCTAACAACTATATTTAATTCGAAGGAAACTTCCGATTAGCGGCAGCCATTATTGAACACGGCAAAGCATAGCTGCAAAAGTCTCAACACAGCAACCAAAGTGTAAATAAAGGCAAAACATTACAACAATTTACACATAGAAATCAAGCAAATCCATGTGTTTGCTCACGAAGGCTAAGCGTATATGCATGTATGTGTAGGTGTAAGTACGTGTAGCTCGACCGCAGTAAGCTGGAAATATGTTGTGGGAAAAATTAAAATGGAACGTATGAACGTACGCGTATTATCCAGCTTAAAATTTATGGTTTGCGGTGATTGCACAAGCATCACTGTTAATTTTGCCGCCGGCATCAACACATATGTGTATTTATATACTCTCATATGTGCATGAAAAGCTGAGTGGTAATTACTCAAGTATATAAAAACAAACTATCCTAACGGAGAAACATACAGAATGAAGTTGCTTTAGTTGTTGTTGTAGTAGCGGCAGAAAACATTCCTGAAGTATTTTTGAGGAATAATGTCAAGTTGACAGTTTTTGGCCGGATAAAAATCCGGGTCCGTACCGGTTATTTAGAGCCGACTATCGAGGGAACGGCTTCTCTAGTCATGATGCTTTATATAGGGATTTGATGGAACAGCCGAAAGTTTGCATTCTGTAGGTCACATACAACGCGAATTAATAATTTTCCAAAGTTGTCGTTTAGATAAGACTGTTCGGGAAAATCGTATTACTTATTAACTAAAGATGTTATTATTATTATTAAGGGGTTATATGCACTTGTAAATTTCTAAAAATTTAAATTTTTTGCATAAATATCCAATATACTTATATTTGAAAATATTCTCCGAAAGTTACAAAATTTATTTATTTATTTATAAGGATTTTTTGACTTATTGTAGTTGGTTAGTAAAATTTGAAACGCATTTTCAGAGTCGGTCAGGAAAATTTCGCTTAAATGGCTGGGCTGATCGTAAAGTAAAATAAAGTAAAGTAAAAGGATTTTTGATAATAATTTCGATTTAAGCCACTCTGAAGTGTAAATTGTTTTGACCAAAAACGACCTTTTTTTGGCAAGCGCCGTTTTGTCAAAAATCAAAATTTTTACAAATCCGTCGACCGCTTGCTGAATTCATCTATAGTTTTAATAAACTTTTTAGGTTTTTGAATTTAAGATCATTTTAAGCAGAAATATCTTCATCAACAGACAGCATACACCTTTTATCGGAGGTCTCCCTTAAGATCGGCTACTGGATCTAGGGAATTCACAAATTTTCAAAATGAATTGCCGACTATTAAAGTACATTCAATCCGGTAATTGTATATAATTTTTAAAATGTTTCTCCCAACACAAATTCTCCAAGAACACGATTTTCCCGACTTAAGAAAAATAAAAATATGAAAAGTTTCAAGTATTAATCTACAAATATTTTTTATACAAACTGTAGCACTCTCAATTCACAGTTCTCACTCTATTTAGTTTTTATAATAAAATCCTTAAATATCCCACCACATAATAACACTAGATAATTATATTTTTCCCTTTTGATTCTCATTTATTCCACGCTTCGTCTCTCTCTCCATAAGCGCTCAGTAAAACGCAATTTGACTTTTAAATTCTACTTTATCCTAACAACAACAACCAGAGCAACAGCAGCTTTCTTCTCGTGCGTATGTAATTTCTATAAAGATAACCATTTTCTGTTATGGTATAACGGTTTTTTATAGCATTAAGAGCTTAGCACACGTTGCTCCATTTAGTCGTAGTTTAATTGTCGTAACCGCCGTTGTTAGCGCAGTGAGAAAAAAGCCAAAACATTGTAGTTGTAACGTCACAAATTCGAGCGCATAAAAGGGATTAAATAGTAACTGACAATGTTGCACATTCATTTATACATATAATATAATATTAGCGAGCAAAAATCAGGGACACAAAATAAATTAGAATTAAAAGGTATCAATAGAGCGAAGTACGGAGCAAGTTAAACAGTTTTTGCATTTAAAGTTTATTAAATCGGAGTTCCGCTTATATAAAGTAAGGTTAAGTAGAGAAAGATCCGAAACAATCCGACTTTTGATGGAACTTTCTTTCATTATGGGCTGGGTAGAAGATTTGCTTTAGTGCACCACAACTCTAAAGATGAGATATTTGTGGTCTGCTTTTGGGGGGATAAAAAAGACTCTATTGACACACAGTATAATGAAAAGTCATTTTTTATTAGCGCAAGATTTGTCGACAATTGCTTGGTTTCTGAATTTCTTTATCCAGAACGACCAGTATCAGCCTAAACCCTATCTGAAAAAATTTTCTAATAAAAATAATTTTTTTAAGTCTATATACGGTGAGTCAGCAACTACAAAAGTTCGGCTAAACTATCCCCGAGATATGTACAAAAAATTGTATCGAAAATTTCTATTGATCGACTTTTGAATACCTTACACTAATAATTGAACCCCCTAGACCGCATTTGTATGTATGTATGTAATCATGAACCGTTTTTCTATTCGCCACTTTTCTGCTGTTTGAGTTCAGTACAAAAGTGTCTATAGGAACCTAATTGAGTTGGTATAATGTTTTCTTATACTATCTTGTTGCACTTACCATGGTCTATTAAAATTCTGTCAGTTGTTTTTTCGATTCGCCACTCTCTAAGTGTTATGAAAGCAACAATAAAATTATGCAGTTGAATTCAGTATAATGGTGTATATGGATAACTAATTAAGTTGGTATAATCTCTTACGACTCGACGACGTTTTGATTGCTACATTATAGTTATAAGAATTTCGTTTGTTCAGTTCAACACTCTCTCACTCATCTCACTATTATTTGTTTACTTTTACTTGATATGACTACACATTATTCGCTAGAGTGTCTTAACTTGTTATCAAAATACTATATTTCATAAAATAATTTTTAATTTTTTTTAAATATTTTTAATTCATAAAATTTTCATCTACAACTTTTTTACAGTTTCTGTACATTTACAAAATATATAAGATCCACACGCAAAATGGCTAAAGAGCTGAAATCACTTGGCTGGGACTACTTCATGTTTGTGGTCTTCATTTTGATCACCATATTCGCACCGCTTTGGAAACGTATATTCGGCAAGAAGAAAGAGCGCAGCAAAGCCGACTATGTCTTTGCCACAGGCGGCATTTCAATTGTGGCCATTATGTTATCAATTGCACGCGGCACGCTGGGTGTACGCACCGTACTAGGTAAGTCTAATCAAATTAATGCTAATTGAGTTTATTTAAAATTCAATTAAAGCGCGGTAATGTTTTACGCTTTTCGCCATTAGTGTTGAGTTTTGAAATTATTAAAAAAAATTTAATGAGAACAATGAATAATAGAAAATTAATACTCGAGTGAATATTTTTCAAACCATTTCAAGTATTTTAAGAGGGTTTTTAAGGTACGAGTATTTTTAATGAATTTAATTGAATTTTTAGTTTAAAAAGCTTAAAATAAGCATTTTTACTCAAAAATTAAATAGCATACACCTCCCTAGACGTATATATACAATATAACGCCTGATTCTATCTTTTTTATGATTAATTATATCAATTTCCTTAAAAGGACTCTCTGCAGCTGCTTTCTGCAGCACCAAATAAAAAGTTCAACTAACTGCTGTACAACAACAATTATGAGCCAAATCCTTGTTTGCATATTCCTATCTGCATGATACCTTTATCTCTTTTTCCAACACACACACATAAACGCCACATTCTCTCACAGGCATCACTCGCACTCGAAGCGAGAAGCCAAAGATACCGGGTACTCATGTTAAGCCAGTGATTTGTTGTGCGCTTGTTAGACCAAGTACCTTAAGTACATTTTGAATAACTGTATTTGGGCTATATAACAAGAAAGGAAAATGCACACACATACACACAGGCACAGGCGTGTGTCGGAAAGGATAATACATTTCCACTTAGGAGTTAGGTTAAGCAACTTTTGCTAAAGAAAAAGTTTAAATTTAACTAGCCACTACCCAGCAACCCACACAAACACACATACACATTAACTGCTGTACGTTTGTGTGAGTCAATGCGCTCGGCATTCGAGAGATTACACGCATATTATGCAAATTGAATAACTACCTAGTGCTCAGGTGAACTTATTTAATTTTTATTTGCCAAAGCCATTGCAAAACCCGCACACACTAACACCAATAAAACAACAAAATGCTTATTTATAATATTATACATCTTGTTGCCTTACAGGTTATCCCAGCGAGCTGTTTTATCGTGGGTCGGCCATGTGGGAGAACATCTACGGCATGGTCAGCGCTTATCCCATTGTGTGCTTCGTTTTTGTGCCAGTCTACTTTAATTTGGGCATCACGTCCGTCTACCAGTACATAGATTTAAGGTAAGTGGCTATGCGGAAGCATTTGTATAATTTTTTTAGTTTTTGGTTTTTTTTTGTTGTATGCGTTTCGATTTGGTGAAAATAAAATGTGGCAGCAGGTGCGCCAATTATGGTGGACACAAGCATTTGCTGTCATTACAAATCAGTCACACTTAATCGGGCTATATATAAGGTAGGGCTAGTGTAGAAAATATTCGGTTCTCAAAAATATTTTTTTTGGAAAAACAAATTAGTAGTTTTAAATATTTAAAAAAAAAGTTATAGATTACTTAACCGAAAAATGGCTCAAAATATTTCCGAAATATCATTTTTTTAGTTAAATACAGCGTAATATGTACCGTTTTATTACGACGAAATTCATCCAAATACACATTCGCTGACAACAGCACTAAAATATGTTCCGTTGTAACAATATTTTGATTTTTTAAAGCTTATCCTGAAATTTTGCGAATATATTTTTAAAGCACCTAAATCTTCAAATATTTCTTTGAGCTCTAATACTATTATTATGGCATATATAGGCTTAAACTTGATGTTATCGATCCATTGAACAGATTTATACATTTGCGGATTTTATATCTTAAATATAAAACAATTATTTTAAGTCAATACATTCTAATTTGGTGTGTGACTTCGCTAGAAATTTTGCTATAATTTAAAATATACGCCTAAAGGTAGACAACATTTAATTTAGTATATTTAAATATTGGTGAAAATAAAACAATTTACGCATATATGTAGGCAACATTTTATTTAGATGTTTAAATGTTGGTTAAAGGTGCCTTATATTGAGACTATTTTCAAAAATTAAAAATTATTTCACAAAATAAGTTAATGATTCAACAAATACAACATTTTTATGTGTGAAGATCAGCATTATTATTTTAATAGTTGTAGAAATGCTAAATTTCGATTAATTTAACTAATATGGTGTAAAAAGTACTATAGAAAATAAAAAAATTTTAATAAAATTATAATATAAATTATAATTTTATTAATTTTTTTAAATGCAACAATTTCCAAAGTACTCTTTAACAATTATGATTACTCTTTTTATTTTTATTTATATTATTTTTATAATTCTTTTTTTTTCCTTTTTTTTCCTTTACAACACATGTAAGAATGCAAAACCTTACATAATAATAATCAATACTATCCTTAACTATTATTTTTACCAAAAGACTATGTAATCAGTCAATCAATTATACACGATTTTCTTTAAAAGTATTTACCGGTACTCTATTCTTTTAAAATTGCTTCTACCTTACTCTGTAAACACGATTTCTTAATGTAATGCACCTCTACACACTCCGAGTTCGGACCAACAACAACATAATAGACACTACATATTTATGCGCCAGCAAAGTCTTCAAATGTACTGGCGACAAGTTTTAATTAAGCGCCCGGAACGCATGGATGCCAGCAGTCATTATGGGCGAGCGAGCGGTGGGACTTTCACAAAGACATTTCGGAGAATTTAAAATTGTTGTGTGCGTACATTTAAATATCATTAAGCAACGAACAGGCAGCAAGCGCCCCCAACGACAACTACAACTACAATACAACATCAACACCAGATGTTTTTCGGCCACGGCCGATGGCAAGTAGGCAAACAATAACAGGTCGAGCTTCTCGTTGTGGCTCCCCCCTCACAGACACAGGCACACATTTCGCATAGCTGCTGGGCGTATGTGCGTGTGTTTACGCAGCGCAAACTACGTAAAATTGTCACTAAATTGCTTTCGCATTGAAAATTAGTTAACAAATTTGTTATCAAATGTTTGCGCGTTTAGTGTATATTTAATTAATTGTATGCTCGCCAATGGTGTGCCAGCACTAGTGCACAAACACATGCATACATACATGCAAACACACCCGTGCGCAGCAGTCAACATTGTCATTCGTCCAGATTGCCATTTTGAATTTAATTTTAATGTTCCAATCGCATTGCCATGGCAGTTGTTGTGTTGATTAGAGACACATTCCGTAAATTGACTCTTATTTATGCAATCCCTGCTGCCCCAGGTGCTGGTGAATTGCTCACAAATCGCACAGAATACAGATTTAGCGTGAATACGCATAAATATTCATATTTGCGAATATTTGGTGGAAAAAGCATAACTGGGATTAAAAATAATTGTTAAACTGCAACGTTCGATGAGGTTCGACGAGTATTTTGAACTTAAAAAAAGAATAAATACAAATATATTCGTAGAGCTTATTCATTATTTTTATCCCCTAAATATTATAAAAATATTTTAACATATGAAAATGCCTCAAGCAAAGGATAAAGCCATAAACCCACGACAGTCTAGTGGATGTAACCGGAACATACCCGAATTTTTATCTAGTCAAAGTCTATTAACTCGGCAGCGTTCCACAGAATTGTTCGGATAATATTTGCTGCCGTTACCAAAACAACAATTATAAAAGTGCTAAAATCTTCTCGAACTATTTGCTTGGATCTTTTCACGATTAGCCTCATAATGAATATATGTTCAATTAGAAATTTTTCAGACCTAAATTCACACTGATATATTATATATTATATTCTAACTTAAGAAGGCTGATTTCACGATAATTTAGAAAGCTCTTGTAACATCCTTGTGATTTGTGGAGCAACAACACTACAACGTTTTGAGTATCTGGTAAACCATTAGCTAAACCATTAATAAAGCTGTAGGTGCAGCTTTGTTGTTGTTGAACCAATTGCCACTTAAAATTGTTTGTAAACGAGAAGAGAAGTCCATACACATTTACAAAAAACTTCACCTCTGGTCGTGAGCTAGCAACTCTCCTTTCTTTTCTCCTTTTCAGAGGAAATCTTCTCGGCCGTAGAAACTCACGTTCTAATCAAATTATCATAAGCACTTCTCTTTTGTTCACTTTCATTACTCGTCTGCTAGTGCTCTCATCCAATCGTAAACGCAAAAAATTTTTATATCGATTCGTCGTTATTTCATTAGTGCTAATATTCAAGAAATATCACCAGTGCTAACTTATGTATATCTACCTACTGAATAACTATCGAAGAGAGTCATTCTTCCTCTAAATTTAGTATGGCGTTTTCATTATATGGTATATATGGCTGTTTCTTTTTCGACCTTTAACTTTCCACGCCCTTAACTGCACAGACACGTCGGCCTAGTCTTGTGTTCTCGTAGACAATCGTTTCATGTTTGCAGAATTACTTTGAAATTTAAAGAAGAATGGACAGAAAAGTAATTTTTTAATATAATCCTTTCCATTATAATAAAATAAAATATTATAAAAATAATTTAAATAAAGAATTAATTAATTAGATATGATGATTTTATAAAGTCATCATATCTATTTTCAAAATGATTTAAATTAATAGGCGTTTCAGATACCTGATTGCACCGCATAATAATTCAAATTTTCCTTTTATTTACTGACATTTAATAAATTAGTATAATTGACAGCTAAGAGAATTGCTGTCATATCGGCCTATTAATACAATATATCTTATTTGAATATACCTCAGCTGTGCGCCAAATTCAATACCTGGCGCATACTTGATTAATTGTAACGTGTTGGCTATATACTTGTATGACTGATTAAGTTCATCAATATTAGCTTATATGCATACATACATTTAAATATAAGTGGAATATTCATTAAAGATGCTACAAAATCCGAACCTGAAAAAATGCTCTTAAGCACCTTTTGTTACAAGTAGGGAAAACACATACAAACAGTTATTCATACTAACTCCCTATCTTCTGAAACGTAATCAATCAACTGTAGGCACATGCCTACTTTATCACATTGTGGCAACGCATACGAGTATATACAAGTATATGGCGCATTTCCTCAATGTGATTATTAATGTATCTCTCTGCTAGCTGCAAAATATTCAATTATATGCGCTCAAATTGACATTAATGGCTTAAAGCGTCAATTTCCGCACTCGTTTCGCGCTTCACTTCCGCTTCATAGGCCTCGATTGCTTTCCGTTTAATAGAATACAAACAAATACTCATACACACATGCTAAGGCATATATACATATTTGTGCTCGAATGCTTGGGGTGATTCTGATTGGATTGCACTTTTGTTTATGCGAAAATAATATTGTTTAAGGGCACATATTATATAATATATACATAGCTATGTATAATATAAATTATTTTTGGACCAATTTATAAACATGTGTTCATTTGGTTAGCCGTTGGCGTACACGTGGCCCTATATACTTAGTTATATATACATATATATAAGTACGATTAAGTGCAGCGGTATTAATAACGGCGCGTGCGTCACATTTTATGATTCATATACATATTAAAAGGAAATGAGGCATGCACATTGCAAAACTTAAAAATAAAATATATAAAAATTCATTTTTCCTATTTAGACTCTCTACAAACCCCACCACCATACTAGTAGCCCTATTTTTTGCATTTATCTGATATATATGCATATACACATGATTTTGGAAATCCAGCAAATACTAATTAATTTATTGCGCGCGCACAAATATTTTTGGATTTTTATTTTATTCCATAATAACCGTTTTTTGTTTTTATCCAATTTATGCAATAAAGCTTACGTATGCTTATCTGTTTGGGAGCTTATAATCGGATTTAATTTTTCGAGTTTTCATAAATTAATTTATTTGCAATTTCATTGAATAGTCGCCGTATACTTTTTTGTTGCTATATAGCTTTCAAATTATAAAATAACTATAATAAATTATTTTTTGAGCATAGCTTTGTTATAATCATAATTTGCTGGCGCTTGTCTCAGACACCTTTAATATTTTTGTGAAATTGACTCATTTGAATATTTTTTAGCAGAAAATTTCAAAAAAACATTTTTTTAATTTTTTTTACTACTTTTTTTATTATTAACCTGCTCGATATATTACGATTTTTTTAAACAATTTAGCAATTTTAGATGATATATGATGAATTTCTCATTTAAGATGCGCTCCAATTTTCGCTCATATCGCTAGTTATATTTATTTATTGAAAGGGA